TTAATAAAAATATATAAACGAATTAAACCGTGAAATATTCGATACATTTTATTGTGCTATTGATAAAATAAATTTTGGGCATTTTATCAATTGAGATAAAACACTCAATCTCACTTTTATATTTTTAAGATTAGAATAGTGTACAACAGTGTTAATGTGCACTGAGTGCGCACCAGTGCAACCAGTGAAATACGCTATAAGACTAGCGTTCTGTGCAGCCAACACTTTTCTCCAGATTGTTTTTATTATCCCGTTGGAGGAAATAAATGTCGAAAACATTTGAAACCAGGCTCTGTACCAACTGTGTTTAAGAGTTCAAATTCTTAAAGGTACATAAATAATAATTATTGTATATATATGTTTATATATAAATAAATCAGTTCCTTCTTCCCTCTTTCTCTCTCTCTCTCTCTCTCTCTCTCTCTCTCTGATTTATATTACATAAGTTACTTATAGATAAAATATTATATAAATATATACACATATATATTTGAATAAATGTATATACTTATATAATGTATAAATTGATGTAAAATACAATTATTAACAGGAAATTAAAAACAGAATCAAGATGCTTAAATGTAACCAGTTATAACATTGATCATGCTATCGAAGATGTGAATTATGTTGAAATAATTTCATCTAGTACAATGTGTACTGAGACAGCTGTATGTAAAGAAAATATACATCAAATGGAATCAGAATATACATTTAAGTATGTAAAATGCAAAAAGTACATATAGTTTATTAATTATATATATATATATACATATATATGAATATGTATAGGAAATATCCCGAAACTCCAAAACAGATATGGTCTCGTCAGGAAAATCCAAGATATATTGGTGATTATACAATCAGTGATTTACAATCTCCTGGAGAAGCAAAACGTAACTGGAACATAGCCATGTCCTGTATTAATACGTTGCGTAAAAAACTCCAAATGGCACAAAAAAAAATCGTCGCTTACAAAAAAGAGTCACAAATCTTAAAGAATTGGTGACTACTTTAAAGAAAAACCAATTGTTATCTGATGGTGCCGCCGAAGTCTTGTCTGTAAGTGTGTAATGCGAAATTATAAGGTACTAATATACAAATGAAATATCATGTATTTCCAATTGTTTAATAATATTGTTATAAAATGAATGTTCGTTCGATAACAATATTTTCGTACAATAGATAATAAGTTCAACTCTCAATTTGTCAACAAGTTGACAAAAGTTATTCAATACATAGTGAATAATTATTAAATATGATCAATGGTGAGTACATGGCGAGTAAACTTTACTTATTACTATCTTGCTACTGTATTATATCATTTGCTAAATGTAGCAATCTGTTGCCAGTAATTAATTTATAAACATTTGTACGTCTAGGCAACACTATAAGTTTATTTTTTACCATTGCACAGAACTACACTAAAATTTTCTTTCTCACTTTCGCTAAACTTTAAATATATATCTATTTTATTTCAAGTACAACGAATGTATACTAGTAAGAACTATTATCTTCTTATTTGTATTGAATACTTTTGAGTCTATTTTCACTTATTATATATAGTATATATTAGTTCAACCATAAAGAACAGATTTTATATACAAGATATCACATAAAATAAAACACTGTATATATAATAAATACTTAAAAAATGACAAAGGTTCTTTTGAATTATTTATCATATATACAGGTTTGCTAATAGGAAAAAAATTAATTTTTTTATAAATGTGTATCATTTTTATATATAGGGTACATTATCCAAAACTGGTATAGCAATTTTTGAACGTCAGTTGAAGAAGAAAACAAAAACAGAATTTCCGCAGATACTAAAAACATTTGCTACAACCTTGCAATTCTATTCTAGTAGAGCATATAATTATATAAGAAAAACATTTATAAAGTCCTTACCACATCCTGAAATTATTCTAAGATGGTATCATAATGTAAATGGAAATCCTGGTATTACTACACAAGCTATAAATACTCTAAAATTAAAGATCCATGAAGCTAACTTGGCAGGTAAAATGTTACACTTTAATCTAACAATAGATGAAATGTCTATACATCGTGATGAAAATTGGAATGGTGAAAAGTACGTTGGATTTGTGGATATAGGAACAGATATCGATACAGACGAGTTACCACCAGCCAAGTATGCATTAGTTTTTTTGGTGACATGTATAAATGAACACTATAAAATACCTATTGTATATTATTTGTTACATTCGATGACGGGAGCTGAAAGAGCAAATTTATTAAAACAATGTCTTGTAGTGCTGCATGAAGCTAATGTACATGTTATTTCTGTTACTGTCGATGGAGCTGCTTCAAATATTTCTATGCTAAATAATATGGGCTGTAATTTAAGTATTACAAATTTAAAAACCTATTTTAATCACCCAATATCTAAAGATAAAATTTTTGTTCTCCTCGATGCTTGTCATATGCTCAAACTTATCCGAAATGCCTTTGATAACAAGAAAATATTATGGGATAAAGATGGTAAAATCATACATTGGAAATATATTAAATTATTAGTTGAGTTGCAAGAAACAGAAGGACTTCATGCAGCAACTAAAATTCGCCGTCGCCAACTCAATTTTTATAATGAAAAAATGAAAGTGTCACTAGCAGCGCAAGTATTAAGCACCAGCGTAGCAAATGCATTAACATTTTGTGAACAAGATTTACAACTCCCGCCATTTGCAGGTAGTAGTGCAACGACAAATTTTTGTCTTCAAATCAATAATATTTTCGATTTATTAAATGGTCGAAATCGTTTCTATAAGAATAAATCTGCACAATGTATAACAAGAGAAAATTATGACGAGATATGCAAACAAGTAGACAATTTTTGTATCTATTTGACAGGATTGAAAGACGCTAATGAATATATTCTTAAATCTAATCGCAAAATGGGTTTTTTTGGTTTCATTGTGGATATAAAAAGCATATTAGAGATTTCCAAAAGTTTATTTCAGGATCATAACATCAAATATCTTATGACGTACAAATTATCTCAGGATCATGTAGAAACATTTTTTAGTGCCATACGGAGTCGTGGAGGATTTAATACTAATCCGACAGCAAATCAGTTTATAGCAGCTTACAAACGGCTCCTGGTTCACGCGGATGTAGATATATCTAAATCTGCAAATAGTACAATAATAGATGAAACGGTTGTCTTAAATATATCCACTACAGCATTAACTAATAATACAGGTGAACAAAGTATAATAGATAATTTGACACATGATTATACCGAGAAGCAAGATTCTGTTATAGTCAAGAGCGATCACAATTATTATCATGATTTTCACAACGAATGGCTATGTAGTGATTATATTGAAGATGTGGTTAGTTATATAGCCGGATTTATTGTTAAATCTATAACAAAGAAAATAAAATGTCAAATATGTTTATCTTGTTTGACTTGTGATGAAACTTTATCTTATTTACAAAAAAGAAAATGTAGAGGCGGTCTAACTTCCGCATCAAAAGACGTTATCACAACTTGTCTTATAGGCGAAAAAGTTTTTAGAACATGTGATAATGTATTTCATACAAAAAATATTATTCAAAAATTACTTCTAAAAGCGATGCATATAATTCCTTCACATGTTTTTAACAATGATCATTTATTTGATCAAAATACTTTAGTTGATCATAGAGGTCAATTGCTAAGAATAATTCTTACAAAATATTTTAATCTTCGCTTGTATAATGAAGGATTAGCAAGAAAAGATATAATTATTAGAATAAGATCAAAATATACTAAACTTATTCAATTCAAAAATCAATAAGATAAAGTTTTCGAAGTACATTGCTGTACTATTATGATTACTATTATGATTACTGTACTATTATGAAATCTTTAATAAAAGGCATAAATAACAATTTAGAGTTTTTAATTTATTACAATTGTATGATCTTGTTTGACATTTATTTCCTTAACAGCCTTAATGTGCACTGAGTGCGCACCAGTGCAACCAGTGAAATACGCTATTAGTTAAAACTTTTTTTAACCCTATTTCTTCAATCCATTTTTGTCAAAGAACTTCATTCTGTGGAAAACTATAATTTCACAATTATTTGTAGAATACGATAATATAATACATATTATAACCTATATACATATATATCACAAATTACAATGCTTTACTAATTACTTACGTGTGAAATGATACATTTTCTTTTTCGTTAGCCACATTTTTATAATAGCCACATGCTTTGCATGTCTTCATTCCGATGAAAATTTTTTGAACAAAATATGTTAAAAACAGATAATTAAGACTTAAAAAGAGTAACAATTATGTCAATGCTTTTAATCTATCAAAAAAATTTTGTTATTCTGTTTATTAAGTAAATTTAACCTTTATGACTTCTTTCGGAATCCCAGTATTGCTGTGCAACACCAACGCGATGTATTAAAGATTAAATATGTGTGCATCATATATATACTCATTCGCCATTACTGTTAATATGCGCGCGCAGAGAAGGATAGAGATTCACCGATGTTTTGCGTCTCTCACCGTTCTGCCAACATCACTTCTACCGTAAGGCATGCTGGGTCTATCTTATAAGCAAGAAGACTAGAAACCAGGAGAGTCAACTCGCGTGGTGGGGGTGAGTCAAAAAGCGTCACTCGCTGCTTACCCCCAACCCCTGTTGAGGACGATGCTCAGTAGCTCACTGCGCATCGTCCCCACTCTGTTGGGGACGATGCTCAGTAGTTCACTGAGCATCGTCCCAAAGTTTGCGCATGCGCGCATCGGTTGTGATACAACCGATGCGCGCAATACATACCTCACAAAATTGGAATATTGTTTTTCGATTTTCTTTATCTCCAGGATTGAAATCACAATTTCGAACACAGCACACTCGCTTGGGCATCGTAAATCGGATTAAATTTTTACACGGTTTACGTTTAGTTCAAAATTCAATCAAACAGAAACAAAATACGTTCAACGTTGACATGCGCAGTCACGAATTGAAACCGACTATGTAGAGCAACAGAGAGGATGAAGCGCAAGAGTGGGGGGTGTCGTTCGTTTCCACTTCTTGCCTCACCCCCACTACCGCTTTTACGCCGAGTTGACTCTCCTGGTTCTAGTCTTCTTGCTTATAAGTCTATGGATAGAACGATCTCAGCATTTCACTTGCCTTTGAGCTATATTAATAGAGGGTATAATCCAAGTTTGATTCAGTTTTTCTTTGGGAACTTATACCCCGTGCACATTAGGAGGCATGCTCTATAAATGTGGCACTTTATTTACAAAGCTATCGTCACTTACTGCAGCATTGGTTTTTATCATCTTGATGTTAAAAGCATACTGGGGGTTTGGAATAAGTAGACAAAAGTTATTATTGAAGAAAAAATAATGCTAATATTTATAAGCATATTTAGTGTCGAGTGCAACTTTATTCTTTTATTGAAATAAAATTTGTTTTGGACTAAGAATAAAATTTATTTTATTTTACAAATAATTTATTGTTAATCGGAAATTGTGTGTTCTTGGCGCTATTCTAAGCATAAAATATTCTTTGATTAAAGCATTTATGCATTTCTTTAAGAATTCATTTTTTTGTATGTAATAATAATTTAATGCTCAATCAGGCATCATATTAAAAAGATCTTAATGTGCTGAAAAACTGTAAATAAATTATATTAAATCGTAAATTTATTGCGAAAAATCTGATCTTGAACCCGGATCTCTTATATTCCGTACGAACATCTATCTTAAGCCTTTAGATTACCAAGACTTTAATAATATTCTTTGCAATAATCGGTATATGTAAGGAAACAACGTCATTCTTTCAGGCGCATTTTTTATACTAGTTATTAAATCTGTTTCTTCATAGAAAGGTGTGATGTATTATGAGCTGCTAAAACCTGGCGAAACCGTTAATACTGAACGCTACCAACAACAAATGT